TTTAATTCTTAAACAAGAAAAATACTTTGATATTTATCAAATCTAATATGTCGTATGAATTTTTTGTAGCTTTATTAATTGACTATCTAAAATTTTACCTTGTTGATGAGAACTGAAAATCAATTCCCCTCTTTACAATCAATCTCTTTCTCTACCCCATGGACATTGGTGAGAGTCAATTTTTACCTTATTTGTAATTCAGTCGAATGACTTGCTATTTATCATAATTGAAATTGAATTTTTAAAATTTCATATCGACAATGTTCTTTCATCTTTCAAATGGTGCATCATCAAAATCAAATTCGTCTCGCACATTTGATAATTCTTACTAAGGTATGTTAATGGTTAGATTATATATTTTTCAAATCGATTAATGTTTTTAGCTTCATTTTTTTTTCTTCAATTTTTTTTTATATAATTAAACTTCTCATGTGCCGCATAATTATGAGAATGCCAACCCACGACAAAAGGAAAATAAATACTTTAAATAGCATGCTAACAAAACAAAAAGGAATAATAAGGACCCCAAGGACTAACTAAAAATGAAATGTGGTCCTTAATTTTTATTTTCAGTTATTCACTAATGTCTATATTTCAAAAACCGGTTTCATACTTCAAGTCACTTTAATTTATACATCTTATTTAGGACTTTGAATTAACCTCAAATTATTTATAGTTACATAAATATAGAATATCTATACCTTTTTTAAGATTAGAAATTTTATAGTAACACAAATATTTATATATAACTTGTTTTAGACTACAAAACACATCTTTTTTTAGATGTAGAGTGCATATATATATCAGGGACAATCTGCCTATTGATGAGTATTATTTAATTTACCCATTAATTACCGTATATTATAAAGTATTATAAATTGACAATTTTTTGTGGGACTATTTAAAGTATCATAAAATTTCATGGACAACAAGTTATATTCCAATTGATGAAATTATGACAAATTTCTATCGGAAATTCATGTGTACTCGTTATTTTTGACAGAGAACATATTCTAATCAATGACATTACCAACGAATTTCTATCGGAAATCCATGTATACTTGTTTTTTTTTTTAGTGAGAACTTATTCCAATTGATGAAATTATCGACGAATTTCTAGCGGAATCTATGTATGCTCGTAATTTTTTTTACACAAAATACAATCGATGAAATTACCGACGAATTTCTATCAGAAATATATGTATACTCATTGTTTTTTTTTAGAGAATTATTCTAATCCATGAATTTTCCGACGAATTTCTATCGAAAATCCATTTATACTCGTTATTTTTTCACAGAGAACTTATATATATTCTAATCTATGAAATTACCGATGAATTTCTATCGAAAATCCATGTATGCTCGTTATTTTTTTATAGAAAACTTATTCCAATCGATGAAATTACCGACGAATATCTATAGGAAATCCATATATAATACTTGTTATTTTTGAAAAGAACTTCAATCGATGAAATTACGGACGAATTTCTATTGAAAATTAATATATAATATTTGTTATTTTTGATAGAAAACTTTAATCGATGAAATTACCGACGAATTTCTATCGAAAATCCGCACATACTCGTTACTTTCGATGGAATTGATCGTTAAAAATCGTAAAAGCATACTACTAACATATAGACGGAGAAGGGGGGCCTGGAAAAAAGACTAAATCAAACTTACGTGGTCCAAAAATTTAATTTTATGTGGCAAGCACATAATTTAATTTGTTTCATGTATTCAAGTCATTATTATAATAAATGTTGTCCACTCAATATTATCTTAGCTTATTCTTGTTGGCAATTGTTCATCCTCTTATATATCTAGGATATATACAAAATTATACTTTTTCTTGCGTGTCTATTATTCTTTACTGAGCTGAAAATTCTACACCATTACACATCTTTGAAAGCCAAGGCCTATTAGCACTATAAAAAAAGAAATTTTTGAAATTTTTGAAATTTTTGACTCGTTTGTTGGAAAAGAAAATATATAGGAATATCTTTTACAAATAAAAATGAACAATTGAAAAATCGAATGGTTTTCCACAAATAATTTGAGAGACCACAACAATTCTTCCAGAAAGAAAAATGACAATAAAAGGAAATTACGTATATTTTGTGACTATCAATTTCACCTTTCACTTTTTCTTTTTAACGTTTTTAGATGGAAGTATTGAAAACACCAGCTTTATCTTTAAATTATTGATAGTCTTAAAAATATCATTTTACTTGATTAACTAAATTTAAATATATCTCGATCTTATAATATGGGTGAAATACATCCCTTAATTCTCACCAAATTTAGGGGTGTTTTCAACACTTTTCTCGGTTTTTTATTAAGAGTCACATCCCAATTTACATAAATACATACTGATTTACGTAAACGATGTTTTCAATATTCTCTCATATTTTTAGACAACTCTCAGAACATAAACAGTAGATGAGGACATGGGGCTGCTCCTCTCTTAAGCAGAGGTCTCAAGTTCAAGCCTTAAATATAAAAAAATTGAAAGCATTTTTTCATGAATGAGGCTCTACCCGATATAATCGACCTCCAGTACAAGTATCACGTGAAAAAATAAAATAAAAATGATAATATGATTGAACTTGGTTTCTACTAATTAATCCAGCTAATCAATATCTATGCTATAGAAAGCTTGTTATAGGGTAAGAAGGAGATGGAGTGGCGGTACAGCTCTCTCTTCGATAGAGACATTATTCTCATAACTCAAATCGAGTTTTTTAATAAACGTTATAATTATAAAGAGGCTTGACTATATACATTAAAGCGAACGAGATAAAAGACACGTGAGGGTCACATGGTGGAAAAATAATAAAGAAAGTGACGTGGGTTGGGTATGAGTATAAAAAGACAAGAGGGACAGCTAGGGGGAAACCACATAACAGAAGCCACGTGGGAAGTACATGTGTCGGCTACGGTCAAATGCCGGTGATAAGTAGGGACACGTGTTTCAGTATATAAGTTTCCAAATGGCCCAAATGTTTGACTGAAATTACAAATACTCACCCATAAATCTTTACTAATTCTATTTTATTTATTTATTCTGTTTGAGTCCTCCGTTGACTTTCTTACCCCTCATTAATGTTTCATTCATATATTAATAAAATAATTTCATATATATATATTTGAAGAGCTAAAATCCCATGGTCATTTATAAGCAAAAATGTCGCTACCTGATGAAGAAGTTGGGAAGGCATCAATTGTCTGTGTGGTGTTAAATCGAATATGATAGAAAAAAGTTTTAACTAACTAATATTCACTTTGACCCAAAGCACAAATTCAGCAGGGAAAGGATATAACTTAGCGGTAGTCTTTTATGAATAAAATGAAGTTTTTTTTATTTAAATAAATTAAAACAAAGTCTACCAAATCAATTCTCCTATTAATACTAATGTAATTGAATGTGTTGTGTTTGTTAGTGGTGGAGCTAAAAAATTTTATATTAAGGTAATTCAAAGTCCTTTTATTTTTATTTTTATTTATCATATTTAAATTATTTCTCAAAAATCAAACAAAACCTTGCAACTTATACTATTCTTCATATATTTGTTGAATTAATTTAATTTACTCTAAATTAAACTGACTCACATGAAACAAAATATGTCTAGTAAAAATGAATGAATGGAGTATAAAGAAATATATAATAGATTCACAGTCTCGTGAGTATATTTTTTTTTGGTGTATTTGTAAACTAATTATATACGTACGAGTACTGAATGTTGAGATATGAGAATATAATTGTGTTGAACCAGTCAGATCATATCTTGAATTTATTAATATATCGTTATAGGACTTTTTATTATTATTTATGTGGTTTCTCTAGATGTTTACATCTAAATATTAATTGAGTACCTCTTCTTATACGTTATCTTGCGTAAGAGTCAATGAGCAGAATGTTGTTGAAATTGTCAGATTATTTTTTTTCATTTTAAATTAAAGCTAATTATTAACAAGTATTTATTCATTTATTTAATTAATGATTGATTATCTACCTAGCTTCCATTTTAACTAAACCACGATATATATTCTATTGAATCAAAATTCGAATAAAATGTTCCAATTTGCTTTCCATAAAGTATGTATACATTGTTTGTTCACCAAAAAGAGACAAGACACTTAGTTTGTAATGGTGACAAATTTGACTACATTTGATTTGAAGTGTGAAAGAGTACTAGATAAACACTACAACTAAACTAAATTACTAAAATTTTAATCATCACATTTAAAATATTTTATTTTTTCTATTACATATATCTATAAAAACTATATAATCATTTTCTTCTTTTTGTATATATGGTCCCAATAATTCCAAAAGCTTAAATTTGCAACACGAAACATGTGGTAAAACAAAACGGAATAGTATAATTTACCAAACACAATATTTCAAGAAACAAAAAATATATATTCCTAAGATAGGAACAAAGAAGGAAAATGCTTATTACAGTTAGATGTTTATTCGGTCTGTCTCAATTTATGTGATATTATTTGATTTAATATGAAGTTTAAAATAAAAAGGGATTTTAAATTTTTGTAACCTAAAACGTGTCTTGATCATTTTGTATGACTATAGATAATTTTATTAAACGCAAATAAAAAACTTTAAAGATAAATTATTTTTAATTATAGTAAATATACATTACTAGTGAAATAAACTAAAAAAATGTATCGCATAAATTATGATGGATTCCTTCTTAGTGACAAATGACTAGACCCTAAAAATGGACTTAAAACTTTGTCAAATCTTCTTTACAAAAGTGGGGTCTACATCTATTTTTTTCAAAACTTATATATAATCTCTCATTCTACCATTAAAATTTAAAATACATTAAAAATAGACCTTAGTTAGCTCAAACCAAGAAAGAAAAAAAGAGAACTTGTCAAAGTTTAAATACAGACACATTATCAACCTCTTGTCAAACCCCATTCTCCCAACCCCACTCCACCCCACCCCCAACAAAACAAAAATCCCTTTTCTTCTTCTTGTTCTTCAATATGGGTGATGAACTAAGAGATTTGTACTATCATCAACCATTTCAAGAAGATATTAGGCATGATTCTTCAATGGTTCAAAATATACATATGCTTGATCCTTCTTTTATGAGCTATACTAGTGAGTATTTACATGGATCAAGTAGTGATTATATTACTAATAATTCACTTGGAAAACCCTTTGGATTTTCAACACCATCTCCACTTTCTTCACTTAAAGATGATGATATTATAAAACAAGATCATATGGATGCTAATGTTAATTATATTAACAATAATGATGTTGTTGTTGGAGGAGGAGGAAGTGAAACCCCAGTTACACCAAACTCTTCAATCTCAAATTCTTCATCTAATGGTGATCATGATGATTCTAACAAGAAAGATAAACAAGTCAAGGATGAAACATTAGAAGATGGTGAAGATGCATCCAAAAAAGAGTAAGTACATATTCAAGTTTCTAAAGTTTTCTTTAATTTTATCTCTTTTTTACCCTCATTTGATTTATTTTTTCATTAAAATTATGATATGTATAGGAGTAAAGCAAAAAAGAAGGGAGAAAAGAAGCAGAGGCCACCAAAATTTGCATTCATGACAAAGAGTGAAGTTGATCATCTTGAAGATGGATATAGATGGAGGAAATATGGACAAAAGGCTGTTAAGAATAGCCCTTACCCAAGGTGATTTTTTTTAATTTTTTTTTTTGCTCATTTTTGTTGTAAATAAAACCCTAAAAGAACACACTTCTCTTCCATCAAGAATCCATATAATTAAGGTAGCTAGTTAGTCAAATCTATGGTATTTAACTAGTGATTTGATAACAAATTTTCTTTTTCTTTTAGTCCACATGGTTACCTACTAGTATAAAGATTGTGTTCCCACTCCCCTAAGTTGTGTTCCCATTTTCTTGTTCAAGAAAATAAGCTTAGATTCAAAGGTGTACACTAGTCAAATCTTATTATTCTATGAACAATCGAAATTTCATACTTGTGTCAGATCCTTCTGATAATCTTTCGATCTCTCAATAATATCATGATTTTCTTCTTTTAAGAAGTATATATATTACATAATAGTAATAATGTTTTGTTGTTTTGTAATTGTAGAAGCTATTATAGGTGCACAAGTCAAAAATGTCAAGTGAAGAAGCGTGTGGAGAGGTCATATCAAGATCCATCCATTGTTATCACAACATATGAAGGTCAACACAACCATCATTTACCAGCTACTCTCCGCGGTAGCGTTGCAAGAATGTTGAATCCTTCCATGTTAGCTCAACCATCACCATTAATGGCACCACAAGCAAGTTTTCATCAAGAATTCATCATGTCACAAATGCCTCAATTTTATGGACATGCCAATGCTTTTGCAAATTCCTCTATGTATCATCATCAACAACAGATGCAGCTACCTCATTCTCATCATGATTATGGACTTCTACAAGACATGGTTCCTTCTATGTTTAATCTTAAACAAGAACCATGAGGCTTTGAGCTCTAATTAACCCTACTTGAAACTTTATAGCTACTTAATTTTCTTTCTTTCTTTTTTTGTAGTAATAATTTAGAGATATTATAGATGGACTCTTCCTTAATTATCTCATGTATTATATATATATATTAGTACTTCACCATCATATATATACTATATCTAATTTCTCTTCTTTATTGAGCTTATATATATATATATATATATATATATAGATGCATGCCCTTTTGAATTAAGCTGGATTTGATCAACATTAAGGTAAACTAAGGCATGTATATATCATATATATAATTCCTTTTGATCTTGGATTAACTTGAATCATTTTATATTCCCAAGCTATACGTGCATATTCTCATGTAGAGATGGCAAAAAAATGCTATACAACACATGTACGACGAGAAATGAATTTTGAGTTCTGAATTTTAGAAAAGACAGATTACTAGATCTTCGATAAATGTGAATTTCCTAACACATATCTAGTTTTGACCAAATTATTTATACATAACTAGAATATCTTAAACATATTTTATAGGCTTATAGCTTAGCTTGAGAGCAGTACATTTTATTGTTCTAATAAATTTCTTCCTTGCATTTTGCTCCTATATGACATTATTTTTATCCGAAATTGCTAGTTAATTGTTTTTCTGATGATAATAAACCAATTGTAGGCTAATAATAATTGTTTTACTTTTCTAATAGGAAATTAATAGAACAAGTCATCATCTTCCATTGATTTTTGTAAAGAAAGTTAAATTCATATCCAAAACCCTTTTTAAAGCAGGGACGGATTCATGTTTTGAAGGTTACCATGGTTCCTGCAATAATCTCAAGTTAACATAGAATAATATCTTCGCTCACAATCAACTATTTTTGTCAATATTTTGTTGATTTCTTAACACAAAATACTTGGACAAGAACAAAAGTCATTAGGTTCTCGTCAATCCACACCTTAAGAGCTAGATCCGCCCCGTTTTAAGGAAGCTTCTACAACATTGCAAAGACTATATAACCCGTTGATTTAAACAATTAATTTCCCTTTATGGGAGGGTAATATTTGTTGAATTAGCCAAAGCACGTGGTGTGACCGCAGCATTTTTTTTTCCTCCACCTTTTAGATGGCAAAAAGACTTTCTATAATTGATATGAAGGAATAATTAAGGGGTTATGAACTTCAGTGATAAATTGTCATTTCTATTAAGAAGACATGTAAATAAAACTAGAGTAGGAATCTCAAAAAGTTTTTGAGATAAATACCATTAATATAATGAACATCACGATAAAAACATTATACTAAATATAAATATTGGCTTTTGATCATCTTCATAATACTATTTTTGATAATGACAAAATGTAATTCTTATTCTACTTTCAAATTTTAATTATTGGTGCAATAGATCATAGGAACGTTTCATTCAAATAACACTCAAGTGTGACTTTGAACTAAGAAAAATGATGCATACGTAGATAATATTTTGAATAATTTCGTAAATCTATCCATATCTATATAGAATCATAAGAAATAGAATATGCTAATGATACTTGGTGGAGGACTTAACTATATTACATATATAAAGAGAAAAAAAAAACTTATATTAGTTTAAAATGCATTGAAATTCAAACTAAATGGTCCTAGCTTAGCTTTCTTTAATTTTTAAAAAAATTGAAAAATAAATATTGAAGGTTAGTTAGTTAACAGCCCCCACGGAATCAAAACAATAGTTCCAGGAAGATATGATTTTGTTTATTAAAACCTTCATTTAATAACAGGTAGGTTAAAATACGATTTCTTTCGTCCACTATATTTAAAATAGATATTCACTTCTATTTGTTTAGTTTAAAAATTCAATAGCTAACCTTATTGCCTTATTATTAATTATGTATATCATTTTTTAAAATATTAAATTTATTATATTTAAAAAATGATATATATTTATATATATATTATATGAACTACTTAGTGTGAAGAAAAAGCAAAAGTCAAACAAAAAAAAAGATCTAAAAAATCGGCTGCCTTTGATGAGAAAGGCTCAACAGTCAACCAATAGCTATTTGACTTTGACCTTATTAATTGATAAAAACGATACAAATGGGGAAAATATTTATTTATTTTCGAATAAAACTAATTAAGTTGGTTCATAAAATTACAAGTTGTAGCAGAATTTAAGCAAAAAATTGTTTTTCTTAGAACGTTTCAATAAAATATTGGAAGATTTTCTTGTTTGTCTTTAGCTTTAAGAAAGAACAATTCAATATATTTATATTAACTTTTTGGTGGGAATGCTCAGAAGTTTCGTAAAAAAACCAAAGTTGAGTACACATTTGTTCATATTGCAACTTATTAATTTTGTTTGCCAAAATGCATGCAGTACGTTTTACTTATTAATTTCTTGAAAGGAAATATTACTGTTCGAGCTTTGAAAATAAAATTGTAAGTCTTTGATAAAAAAAAAACATTTTATTTCCTTTATTTGAATTGAGTTTATTTTTTGTGCGAAAATGAAATTCGAAAATAGTAAAGATACGGGGCTTTTCGCAGTATGGTTTTTGTACAAGCTGACCACTTTAATTTGCCCAACTAAAGTTTGAGGTTTAGCTTGTAATTTAATTACTTGTTGATTTTAGTATGGAAAATTTGATGGTGCAACCTGTTTTGACATTGTTATGAAATCTACATACTCTCCTTTTTAAATTTTGAAGTCATGCCGTGTCTGAAGTTAGGTTTGATAAAATCAAACTTCAGATAAAAGTTTCGTATGAATGTAGTTTGTGCATTTCTGCTTGAAGTTCAAGCAAAATGGTTGGACTTTAGTCATTCTAGTTCTAATCGTTAGCCATTTCTTGCTTGAACTTAAATCATATATGTGCATATACTTAGGACAAAAAATGATTTAAATCTACTGAACTTTAGTCAAGACTAACTTCAGACATCATATGTTTGAAGTTGTCCTAAAGTATATACACATGTAAAAGAAAAAAACCTTTAAAAATGATCACAAGTTAAATAACAGCATTATAATCGGATATTCGTACATATCGCCCTTTTTAGCAGGGTGGCAACAAATTAAAGTTATAAGCTCATGAAAACACATGATTTGGGCCACCTATCTAAGTTTAGATATACTAATGACCCGTTCATTTCTTTTGATTCGTTCAGTTCAACTCATACAAAAGTTGAGCTTATTGTATCTCAAACTGATTCATGAAAAGATCTTATTAAATATTTTAGTTTTTCATCTTGTTTGATATGTTATAAAAAGTCATAATTTAAATTTTAAAAAAACTCATTTTAGCTCAATTAATCTTTGAACGTGTGAATTTCGTATCTATAGAAATCTTTCCCATTAATAATCCACTTATCGACTAACTAAGCCCATGTAAATTTCCCCATCTTGTAAAATGCTTTACATATGTTTGTTCCCAAATATAACTTGTAAATCCAAGTTGACCTTAATAATATTCCTCACATGAAAAACTATTATTTTGTCATTTTGTGTAGGCAAGACTTTGATATTTGGATTGAAATTATTATATTATTAAAAGATGGGGTATAGATTTGAGTGAATGAAATTAAAATATTTTTCTATATATTGAAGATGTCAAATAGTATGAAATTAGGTGAAGCACATGGAAAGAGTAGGTCAAAATTCAAATAGCGATCCTCCGCCATATGAGGCTAAATTGGAATTATATACGTACCTCCAAACACAACAGTGGTCAATTTTGTTATTATTAGTATTATTTGTCACTTAGCAGAATAATTGACCATAGATTTGGCATGCCCAATAAAGAATTACATATTCTAGTAAAATAAACTTTTTTTTGTGAGAAGATATTTGCATTCACAAAATTCTCATAATTCTATTAAATTTTTTTGTGTAATTAAAAGTATAAAGTACAGAAATTCAATACGGGCTGATTATATTCTATTTCAAAAAAAAATTCGATTACAAAAATTTTAAATTTTTCATTGCTCTCGGATACATTTCTTGGTTGACCGATACATTGCAAATGATATATTACTTAATGGAAGGGATGTATCCGAGAGGGAATAGGTATGTATCCGAGAGGGAAGGGATGTAAGGAAATAGGGATGTATTCGAAAGGGGTTTTTTGAAAAAATTTTAAATGGTAAGAAATTTTAGAGATTATAATATCTTAAGTTGTGTATTTATGTAATTTTTCTTAATTAAAATGCATACCGCTAGAGACTAATTTTATTATTTGACAGTTCTTAATTTGTTGGCATGGAGTGATGGTATGCGTCTAGAATTAGCATTTTCCCACTAAATTCTGCAGAAATTTCAGGTAATGTTTTTCATAATTTTAATACAGGGATTTATGTGAATTAAAAAATAATCTGGAAGTAAAATTAAATTTTTCATCTTGATTTGTTTGCTTATACGGCGATCGACTAGCTTGGTCAAAATAATTAGTTCATATTAGGTTAATAACTGATACTGTTTAATCTTATTATATTCTGATCTTGTGTGTGTTAATAATTTGTCTTCTAGATTAACATCTTCTAGATTAACATCAGTTTATCAAATTGTCTTAAAAGTAAACTTAAAGTTCAAATAGTGAATTGTGGGAATTACCTAACATTAGGCTTCGATGTATTCCAAATTTTATTGGCTCGAGAGATACTAGTCCATGCACAGCCCAATTAACGAATCGGAGAGATTTGATTTTGTAATTCAATACAAATTTTGTTATTCTTATCGCGGGAAATGTATAAATAAAATACGAGAGGATCATTTTCTTATATTCAAATTATAAGTGAATACGAGATAATTTCCTCTGCAAAATTTCACAAACAATAAAAAAGGAAAAACAATTGCATTAGCCATGAATAGTTCAAGTTTTGCTGAGTAGAGAACACAAGTACACTTATCATACCTATATTTCTTTATCATATCACTGAGTAACGAGGAACATATACGACTATGAAAGACAAAAGGCAAAGAGAACCAAAAAAAAATTTGAATACATGTATGTGGTAATTGATATCATACAAATTATTGTCACGAATTTTGAGGCTGAATCTGAAAATAATTCCTTCCTTGTGTGCGTGCTCCAATTTAGCAACTGCTAGTGATGCTACTTCCACAAAACTGTTGGCAATTACATGCTTTGCAAGCTGACTTTGAATATCAACATCTCTACCCCATTTAAGA